ACACCAATCCCAACATGGAGAGCCCACCTTCATGACCTCTTCTAACTCTGGTTACCTCCCAAATGCTCCACTTCCAACATTACATTGGGGTTAAGGCTTCAACATATGAATTTTGAGGGGACACAATTCTATTTGTAGCAACCTCCTTCCTTTTTAATACTCCACCCTGAAAATTACAGCCACCTGAGTCTGGCTGAACATCAATCTTTACTTCACTCAGTGAAACTACCATGCTATGTTTGAGATGGTCCTTGTGATAGGTATATAAACCACTTCCGGTCAGTTCTGGAAGAAATTATGAGACTCACCTCCTTTGTGTCCCCTCTCTTGGGAATCACAGTACTGTGCTACCAGTTTTTCAATGTCTAAAAAACTGTTTCCTTGTGTATTGTATTCAGTTTTCTAGCTATTGAAGGCAGAAGGTATCTTAGTTCCAGCTGCTATAACAAACTACCATAGCTTGGGTGTCTTATAAACAACAGAAATTTATTCATCATATTTCTGGGGGCTGAAAGGCTGAGATCAAGGTGCCAATGTAGTGAAGGCCCTCTTCTGGATTGCAAACCCTTGCCTTCTCGTTGTATCAACATGTAGTAGAAAAAAGGTAAGAAACTTCTCTGGGTTCTCTTTTTATAAGGGCAGTATTCACCTTCCCGAGGGCTCCAACTTAATTACTGAGTTACCTCTCCAAGGCTCTACCTCCTAATACCATCACGTTGGGGGTTAGGATTTCAACATTTAATTTGTGGAGGGCAGAGAAGGGGAACAAACATTCAGTTCATAATAGGGAATTAAATCTAGTTCTATTTTCTCTATCAGGAGAGTTTTGAATATAGCAGAGTTGCTCAGTCTCCATGCCGTTGACATTGATCTCTAGGTATCCCTTATCCCTCTGGGACTTATCTAAAATATCTGCAGAACAGAGAGTAAGACAACAACAATGAAAGCAGGATTGTTAAAATCTCCGTAAGACATGGAGAGCTAGAGTTGGTTCTGCTTTGTTTCCTAGGTAGCAGGGTGGAGCACAAGTTGGCATGGAAATTATTTTGCCTACCTTAGCATTGGTGCATGGAACTGAAGAACAATTCCTGGAATGTGGGAGGAGATTTCAGTAGCCAGGCCAGCTTTTATCTGCATGGCAACTTGGGGGTCAGAACCTAGGAGGTCAGAAGCAAAACAAAACCAAAAAAACAAAACAAACAAAAAAGCCAACTTGCTATTCAATAGTCTGGGTAGAAGGTATCAGAAGCAAACCTGTACCAGTCCAGAAACTTAAACTCTAGGCATACTTAGAGCTATCCAAGGTCAGGAAAACAATCTTTATTTTATACCTGTAGACTTTGTCTGTTAAAGTAGTAGGGAAAAAGGCAGAATCACTTACTCTAATGGCACCCACGGATCTGTGTGATTAATAATCACAAGTAGAAGTGGAAAGAATTCTTCAGGATGACCTTAAAGATTAGCTTTTGAGCCCTATGTGATACATAGTCTAGGAGTTCTGAACTAGTACAGAGCTCTTTGGGAAAAACAAAATGCCATTTTTTCAGAAGTTCTATAGGTGGTGTTTTAAACAGAGATACTGTTAACGTTTACACCTCTAGGCTGTGTCTTTGGGGGAATATACAAGACCTATTTGCTTCAAAAGTATCTCCAGATACTTTCTTTTCTTTTCTTTTTCTTTTTTTGAGACAGGGTCTCACTCTGTTACCCAGACTGGAATATAGTGGCTCTACCACGGTTCACAGCAGCCTCAACCTCCTGGGCTCAAGTGGTCCTCCCAGCTTAGCCTCCTGAGTAGAAGGGGCTACAATCGTGAACCACCAGGCCCAGCTAATTTTTGTATTTTTTGTAGAGACAGAGTTTCCTGATGTTGCCCAGGCTGGTGTTAAACTTCTGAGCTCAAGTAATCCTCCCACCATGGCCTCCCAAAGTGCTGAGATTACATGCATGAGCCACCACAGTTGAACTTATCAGATACTTTCCAAAAGGGTTAGAATATGTGGCAGGATCCTAGATGTGTCTGTTGTTAAGACCATTTTGAGAGAATGAGTTTTTAAAATTTCACTATGTATTAGTTTTCTAATGTTGCCGTAACAAATTATCATGACCTTAATGACTTAAAAACAATTCAAATATATTGTCTTAGATTTCTGGAAGTCATAAGTCCTAAAATCAAGGTGTCAGCAGGACTATATTTCTTCTGGAGGTTCTAGGGGAAATTTCATTTCTTTGCCTTGTCCAATTTCCAGAAGCCCCCTGCATTCCTTGGCTTGTGGCTTGTTTTCTTACATTACCTTGACCTCTACGTACACCCTCACATCTCCTGCTTTGACTCTCACCCGCCTGCCTTTCCTTTATAAGGACCCTTGTGGTCAAAGATAATCTCTCCATATCAAGGTCCCTGATTTCACATCTGCAAAGACTTTCTTTGATTTATTTATTTATTTATTTATTTATTTATTTATTTATTTATTTATGTTTTGAGACAAAGTCTCACCCTGTAGCCCACGCTGGAGTTCAGTGGCACAGTCTCAGCTCGCTGCAACCTCTGTCTCCCGGGTTCAAGTCATTCACCTGCCTCAGCCTCCCAAGTAGCTGGGATTACAGGTGTGTGCCACCACACCTGGCTAATTTTTGTATTTTTAGTAGAGATAGGGTTTCACCATGTTGGTCAATGTGGTCTCAAACTCCTGGCTTCAGGTGATCTGCCCACCTCTGTCTCCGAAAGTGCTGGGATTATAGGCACGAGTCGTTGTGCCCAGTTGCAGATACTTCCTTTCATATGTAAGGTAATATATTAACAGGTTCTGGGGATTGGGACATGAACATATTTGGAGAGCAGTTTTTTGTTTTGTTTTGTTTTGTTTTGTTTTGGCCTACCACACAGGCTGGCATCTTTTCACAAGATTCTTTACATGCTTTTCCTATTTGAGGAATGTTATGAACTGAATGTTTGTATCACATAAAATTCACATGTTGAAATCCTACTCTCACTGTGATGGTATTAGGAGGAAGGGTCTTTGGGAGGTAATTAGGTCATAAGGGTGGAGTCTTCATGAATGGAATTAGTTAGTGCCCCAATAAGAGGAACTCCAAAGACCCCTCTTGTCCTCTTTCCTCTATGTGATGATACATTGAGAAGATGACCATGTGCAACTTGGAAGAGGACACTCAGCAGAAGCTGACCGTGCTGGCACGTTGATCTTAGACTTTCAGCCTCCAGAACTGTGCGAAATAAATTTCTGTTGCTTGTAAGAAATACATTTCTGTTGCTATGGTGTTTTGTGGTAGCATCCTGCACTCACTAACACGTGAAATTGACTTTTGAAGGATGCCTTTCTTTGGATGATCAAAAGTCATCTGTTGACTCAGGCCTGTAATCCCAGCACTTTGGGATGCTGAGGCAGGAGGATCACCTGAGGTCAGGAGTTCGAGACCAGCCTGACCAACATAGCAAAACCCTGTCCCTACTAAAAATACAAAAATTAGTCGGGCATGGTGGCAGGCACGTGCAATCCCAGCTACTCAGGAAGCTGAGGCAGGAGAATCGCTTGAAGCCAGGAGGTAGAGGTTGCAGTGAGCCCAGATCACACCTCTGCACTCTCTAGCCTGGGTGACAGAGCTAGACTCTGTCAAAAAAAAAAGTCGTCTGTCGTCCTTAAGTGGCACAACAAGAGATGTCACTTTGGGCCCCACTTTTCTTAGATAAGATGTTGTTAGTCCTTACAAGCTATATCCTAGGCAGCCTGGACAATACCTCTTTGGCTGCTAAAACTATCCACACCATGCATCATGCTCTTGTATGTATCCCAACATAAACTATGAGACTGTGGGTGCATAATGTATAATGACAACACTTAAAACAATACAACGGTCTCCTCAAATACCTAGGGAAGAATTTATCACTCCCTTTCTTGGTGCTTACCAATTACATAAAGAGCCTGTGGTTAAAGGGTGAAAAATCTTATATTTTCCTGTGTTTTTGGCCTAGATCGTGGGGTGTGTTAGGCGCCTGGTTTTAATGATTATTTTAATGGCATTTTAAGCCACAGGCTTAGATTGCTCCTCTCTCTTGCCAGTTCTTACTTGTCTTTTATGTCCTACAAGCCCTGTTCTTCAGACCCCACTGGGCAGAGACAGAGCGTTCTCCTGTGAGGTGTGCAGTGCCAAGCAAATCACTGGCCCTCTGTAAATAATAATAGTGTTTGGGGCTGTGACAGGAGATGGAAACTGGACATTTTCTGACCCTCAGTTCCAGCGTGTTCTCAGAGCACATTCATTTTGGCATATACTTTGGAAACTGAAAGCTCTCTGAGGGAGTATCAATCACTTTTATGGTGATGTCAGTAACTGTATGTATGCGGTCACATGTATGCACTTTGATTACAACATCCATAACTTCATTTAAAAAATTGCTGAAGGCCTACTATGTGTAAATGATGTTGTCGAGGATAGTGGGGTGAAAGATGATGAAAGTTGCCATAGGTCTGTGGCATGTGTATGTATCATGCATATCAACACACATGAACACATACATAAGTGGAATGCATGTACACATGTGTCTATAGTAGCTTTTTAAATTAGGTTGATAATTTGATTCTTTTTATTTGAAAGAATACTTTGGAAACCAAACTTAATTTCAACTCAAGAAGTTTCTTTTTACCATTGGCAACACTCCTTGAAATAAATGGATGACTTAGGGACCCTGAAAGGATCTTTAAAGCCACTTGTCTCTCAATTTTTTTTTTACTTTTGACTCTGATGATATCAAAATTGTATTTAAGTTCCAGAATCTTGGGCACTGCCAGTGTTTGTTCATCACAGGTTTGAGGAAGTAGAGAGGATATGGGATACATTTCTATTATCTTATGTATATGTGCATGCGTGTGCATAGAGAGTGTCCTATTCAGAAGCTTCTGAGCAACAAGGATGTTCTACGTGGCGATGGCAGGTGTGAGTATAGGAGTGACTTTTTTTGGGAGGGGCACAGAGAGCAAGTTTATTTGGTGAATGCTAATGGTAAATATCCAAGAAAGACAACACGGGAAAGGCACTGTGATAAGAGAACCTAGGAAGCCTTCAGGATAGATAGAAAATCTCACCAGGGGGAGACGTGGGCTATGGGAGACTGGGAAGGTCCTCAGTCATTCAGCACCGTAAGGATGAGCTGCCCCATGGGCCTGTCACCCCGACAGGATGTGCCTCACAAATGCTTCATAGTCGATACAACAATTGCTGCCCTCATTCCCTGCCACCAGCACCTCTACCTCTTCCTCTGTTATCTTCTCACCCAGTGTGACAAGAACAAGCCAGAATTCAACACCCATGATGGTGCCATTTACTTCCTTGTCAAACACCTGAAGTCCTTCTACATAATCTTCACAGGTGCCCTGGTCCTTGTTCTTGGCCACCGTCTGCAGTATGGGCAGAAGGTACTCAAAGTCTAGCACCTTCACGTTCATCTCATTACTCTTGGGGTTCCACAGAACCTTGAGCACCTCAGTGTTGGTGGGGTTCTGACCCAGTGCCCTCATCACATCCCCATATTGGTTGTACAGGATCTTGCCATCACCTGTTTGGTCAAACAGCTGGAAGGCCTCCTTGAACTCTGCAGTCTGGTCCTCGGTGAAGTCACACATCATGACTGCTCAGCTCTGTGGGACTTTTCCCTGCAGTAATGGCCAGGAGTGGCTTTTTATAAAGGATTTAAACTGACATCTGCTTTTCTACCCTGCCCCAGGCTTTCTTGGTTAGTAGCAAAGGGTGACTTGAGGTGTAAGAAATGAGCTCTGGCTACCTCTGAAGACTCCTAGCCCATAGTTAACTAAATCTCACTTATTTGGGAATAAAGACTATTCAAAAGTTTGAAGAATCCTTCTCTCTTTCCTCTCCACCCCTCCCTGGGGAATGAACCCTGAACCACACTCCTACTCTTACACTAAAATCCCCTTATTAATCCATTTAAAAATTTCTTCATGAGACCTTATTCATTTTCAATGGCTTTGATGTTGCTATAACAATGGATTCAGAAATTGTTTTGGTTAAGGAAATTTGACTCTCTGGAAAGCCCCATTCCTTTGTTCCCCTTTGAAACATGCCCATAATGATTGTGACAATATACTATGGCAATTAAAAAAGATATATAATTCCCTATGAAACTTTTTAAGCTCCTCCTATTCTTAACAATGTCTTGGGGATATTGCTATCATGTTTTGTCCCCACAGTAGGCATCTGCCTAATGAAGAACACCATAAAAGTAGTATTTTTAAATGATATTTTTACTTATTATTAAAACATTTTTAAGGAGATTAAAAAAAACTCTCTTATACATTTATCACTTCATATTATAACTACTTTTCTTTTTAAATTCCTGTTCATTCTTTTGAATATCTGTGATAGTTGCAAAGATTTAAGAATGGATAACTGAACTTAGCAGACATATGACAACTTCTTTTGTCATCTGTATTAGCCTGTTTTCATGGTGCTGATAAAGATATACCCAAGACTGGGAAATATACAAAAGAAAGAGGTTTAATTGGACTCACAGTTCCACGTGGCTGGGGAAGCCTCACAATCATGGTGGAAGGTAAGGAGGAGCTTATCCTGTCTTACGTGGATGGCAGCAGGCAAAGAAAGAATGAGAGAGATGCGCAAATGGAAACCCCTGATAAAGCCATCACATCTCATGAGACTTATTCACTACCATGAGAACAGTATGGGGGAAACAGTCCCCATGATTCAAACTGTCTCTCATTAGGTCCCTCCTACAACATGTGGGAATTATGAGAGTACAATTCAAGATGAGATTCGGGTGGAGACACAGCCAGATCATATTGTTCCACCCCTGACCCCACCCAAATCTTATGTCCTCACATTTCAAAACCAATTTTGACTTCCCAACAGTCCCCCAAAGTCTTAACTCATTTCAGCATTAACCCAAAAGTCCAGAGTCCAAAGTCTCATCTGAGTCAAGGCAAATTCCTTCCACCTATGAGCCTGTAAAATCAAAAGCAAACTAGTTACTTCATAGATACAATGAGGGTACAGGTATTGAGTAAATACAGCCATTCCAAATGGGAGAAATTGACCAAAACAAAGGGGTTACCGGGCCCATGCAAGTCCAAAATCCAGTGGGGAAGTCAAATTTTAAAGCTCCAAAATGATCTCGTTTGACTCCAGGTCTCACATCCAGGTCATGCTGATGGAAGAGGCGGGTTTCCATGGTCTTGGGCAGCTCCGTTCTTGTGGCTTTACAGGGTACAGCCTCCCTTTCAGCTGCTTTCACGGGCTGGCATTGAGTGCCTGTGGCTTTTCCAGGCAAACAGTGCAAGCTGCTAGTGGATCTTTTGGGGTCTAGAAGACTGTGACCCTCTTCTCAGCTCCACTAGGCAGTGCCCCAGTAGAGACTCTGTGTGGGGCCTCAAACCCAAATTTCCCTTCTGCACCGCCCTAGCAGAGGTTCTGCATGAGCACCCTGCCCCTGCAGCAAACTTCTGCCTGGGCATCCAGACGTTTCCATATATTTTCTGAAATCTAGGAAAAAGTTCCCAAACCCCAATTCTTGACTTCTGTGCACTCACAGGCTCAACACCATGTGGAAGCTGCCAAGGTTTGGAGCTTGCACCCTCTGAAGCTACAGTCTGAGCTATACATTGACCTTTTCCAGCCACAGCTGGAGCAGCTTGGATGTGGGGCACCAAGTCTCTAGGCTACACATAGCATGGAAACCCTGGGCCCACCCATGAAACCGTTTACTCCTAGGCCTCCGGGCCTATGATGGGAGCTGTGAAGCCCTCTGACATGCCCTGGAGACATTTTCCCCATTGTCTTGGGGATTAACATTTGGCCCCTCATTACTTATGCAAATTTCTGCAGCTGGCTTGAATTTCTCCTCAGAAAATGAGTTTTTCTTTTCTATTACATTGTCAGGCTGCAAATTTTTCAAACTTTTATGCTCTGTTTCTCTTTTAAAACTGAACGCTTTTAACAGCACCCAAGTCACCTCTTGAATGCCTTGCTTCTTAAAAATTTCTTCTACCAGGTACACTAAATATCTCTGTCAAGTTCAAAGTTCCACAAATCTCTAGGGCAGGGACAAAATGCTGCCAATCTTTGCTAAAACATGCCAAGAGTCACCTATGCTCCATTTCCCAACAAGTTCCTCATCTCCGTCTGAGACCGCCTCAGCCTGGACCTTATTGTCCATATCTCTTTAGACTTTTGTCAAAGCCATTCAACAAGTCTCTAGGAAATTCCAAACTTTCCCACATTTTCCTGTCTTTGTCTGAGCCCTCCAAACTGTTCCAACCTCTGCTGGTTACCCAGTTCCAAAGTTACTTCCACATTTTTAGGTATCTTTTCAGCAACATTCCACTCCTGGTACCAATTTACTATATTAGTCTGTTTTCACACTACTAATAAAAACATATCTGAGACCAGGCAATTTACAAAAGAAAGAGGTTTAATTGGACTTAACAGTTCCACATGGCCGGGGAAGCCTCACAATCATGGCAGAAAGTAAGAAGGCGTAAGTCCCATCTTACATAGATGGCAGCAGGCAAGGAGAGAAAGAGACGCAAAAGTGGAAACCCCAATAAAACCATCAGATCTCATGAGACTTATTCACTACCAAGAAAACAGTATGGGAGAAACTGCTCCCATGACTCAAATTATCTCCCAGTGGGTCCCTCCCACAACATGTGGGAATTATGGAAGTACAATTCAAGATGAGATTTGGGTGGGGACACAGCCAAACCATATCATCATCATCATTTCTTTTTTTTTCTATACAATCTAATGGGAGCTTCAGACAAGAATTATCATTTAATTAGTTTGGTTTTTGTCTACATTATGCTTGCTTCTCCATTCACATTTGGTTAAATGCATTTATCATTAGCGCATCTCCTTTTCCTCCTTCTCCTTGTTCTTTTTCTCCTATATCCCCTCCTCTTTCTTCTTCCTCTTCTTCTACTTCTTACTCTTCATAAGTAAGACACTGCCAAGTATTTCCATGAATTATCTTTTATACCCTTTATCACAGCTCTATTATAGAAGTACTATCCTATTTTAGAGATGAAAAAATGGAAGCTCCAGAAAGGCAAGACACTTTATGAAGATCAAAAGCTAGAAGTGGTTAAAACAGGTCAACTTTTTGCCAGCCCCTAAATTCCTGTTCTATTCTATTCATTCACTCATTCATCATTTTAATTCTTTCATTTAGCAAATACACATTTAATACCTAATTATCTTTCAAGTACTATACTGGGTGCTTAGTTAGCTATAAGAAATAAGATGTAATATCTATGCTCAGAGAGGTTTGTATGAGGCGTATGTGGTGTTTGTGTGTTTGCTGTGGGACGCCAAATGAGCAAATAGTTCCACTATTGTATTTCAAATGTGATTGATATAGTAGAGATAGTTACAAAGTGTCACTTAAGTACTAATGAAGAGTCACTCTGGAGAACCAAATAAGGATTCGCAAGGATCTGTATTTTGAAGGATAAATTTACATTCACAAATGGAAAAGACAGGAAGAACTTTCAGAGTTATAGAAGATTATCTTTTCTTTTAGGAATAAAAAGTTCAGGTTAGCAGGAACACAGGGACATCATGGAATTACATGGAAATGATTATAGAAGGTGTTAGGGATAGGATGTGAAAGACAGCATTCAGTTCAGGAAACAATAGAGAGTTAAAGGGGAGGTTTAAGGTCTCCTGAGTTGTTTTTAAAGAAAGATGTGAATGACATATTTTATAATAGCAACTGTATTTATTCATACATTTAGCCAACAACTATTTATGATGCATTTATTGTTGGCAGACATTTTGGAAAACAATAGATGAGCAGATTATAAACAGGAATCAGATATTCAGGAAATACACTCTTGTGGGAAAAATAATACATACTAAAAAGTCCAGAAAATAACATTGTAAGATGATCTGATCTAAATTTTATGAACATGCTGCGGAGAGAGGGGACAATGGAAGATATGTATGACAATGAAGAGGAAGAGAAAAGAGCGAGCCACCAAGATACTACCTTCCATCCCATTAAAAATTACTTTCCTCTAAGAACAAAACTAAACATAAAATTAGTGATTAGGAAAGAAATGTTTGTATCTCAGTGAAGAAGAATCACACTTAGAAAAGGTTTATCCAGACTCTGATGATAAATATGACCTATATTCTTTATGCTGTAATGACTTGAGGTTCCTGGATGGAATTGACCCAATGAAACTTTCCCTTGAGACAATCAAAGTCTCTTTTAAAAAGACTAGCAAAGATTTATGTCATACATTTCCAGTCCACAGTCAATACTCAGAGGCCAACAGGGATCCCATAAATGACGAAGAGAAAGATAAGATGTTGTTAGCCTGAGCTGAGCCTTCTGCTCATGATTGGTGTACTTCACTTGCAAAAGCCTCATAAATGTGGTCCTGCTGGTGCAGTCTTTGAACATAAATATCAGAAAGTCTCTTGCTGGGTTTTTGGTGGGGAGACGGGGTGTCTATTGTAATATTCTTAGTCTCTGGGTCCAGTCCTTGACATCAGCTTCCTTAAAAATAACTCAGTTTTACCACTTAACTAAAGGTTCTTTACATAGCCTCAAAATACACTGATGCTGCACTTATTTATGCAG